AAGGAAAAAAATATTATGAAAATGGAAAAATAAAATTTTAAGCTTTTTGGGGGCCTTAGCGGAGAGATTTTTAAAATTTGGGTTTTTTGGGAAATTTAAATTTCCTTGGGGGGAAATTTAGATAGGTTTTAGTTAAAACATTTATTTTTTGAGTAAAACAAGGGTTTTAAAAGCTTAAAGGGGATTTTTTTAAAATTTTAGGGCTTTATTTTAAGTTAATGTTTTCTATTTTTAATTATATTGCTTTAAAAGGGGAAGCTATTAAGTTTTTAAAGACACACTTTTGAATACCGCCACACACATTTAAAACACCTCTTTCTATTACATAATTTAATAAGAGTATAATATAATAAAATATGATATAAGTAACATAACATAACATAACATAACATAACATAACATGAGTTAACCCACTTTTTATAGCAGTTCGCGACATTACATATACATGTACAAATGTATAAGCTTCAATAACTGCACACTGCGAATGGAAAATACACATAAAAATAATACAGTTTCAAGTCTCTCTCTGTTTAAGTTTATATCTTATTTAACGTTACCGTTGACATAATTATTTCATTGAATAAATTTGATTTTAGTTAAAACAAAATTGGAAAACAGAGACGGCTGGGTACACTTGAATTTTAACGAGAAACAAACTTTAAATTTAAGCCAGATAAACGTAATGTATTGCAAGTACGGTTTTAATATTTTACCTGGCACTCTTACCTGTACATGCTCTTTTTTTTAACTTAATAATTATTGTATAGATCTACATGTTTAAATATCGTTTGGTCCAACAGTCGACGAAAAGGGGCTCAGTGTCACAAATGCACAAGCTTTTTCTTCTTATATTTTTCCTTGAAAATTTTTATTTAAATTAATGCGCAGATGTTAAATCATAATGCGGATGGCGGAAGATAAAATCAATTTTCAAGCCATAGTTTAAAATTTAACGCTGGGCAAATGCATTTTGTGAAATAATAGTCAGCAGTAATATTCTACTTTACGGATCTATTTAAATTTTCTGTATCCTTTGAGATAGCTAGCAAAATTTGTGAAGAAACTTGTGTTACATTGCTCAAGTACGCGTGCATGTATATAATAAATTACGACTGTGTTTCAAGTGACACTATAACAGATGTGTTATATAAATACAGCTGAGTTTAATATGAGAGCACATGTAGTCACGTGATTTCACATAATTATTATTTAAAGCGTACTATATCGTTGTTGGATATTTTATTTTAAGTTCTATTAAAGTGAATTGGTCCACAATGGAAAGTCTGTAATTCTAATTTATTACTAAAAAATTATAAAGTATTAGTTATGTTGAAAATATTTATGCCAACAAACCACGGAAAAAAACATACATGGATGTTGTTGGTAAGTGTGAGATACATGGTTTGTTATTACAACAAATGAACATATCTATACTGAGTATAGAGTAGATAATGAATTGTTCTAGAACAAAATATAATTATTCATCATATAAATGTTCTTATGTATTCGTTAAAGCTACATGCCTCCAGATGAGTCAAAATATTTCAATAAAATCAAACTTGAGAAAATATGTACTAAGATGTAAGAAAAACTAAAAAGTTTTAAGATTCAAGTAACATGTTACAGTCATATTATGTGCGATTTTGATTGATTTTGATAATGTGTAAATTGCTTCCTTTTGGTTACTTCACAATATTACACATTGAAATACATTTTCAAATTTTCACGAAAATTAGCATGAATCTGGAGGCGTGTCACTCTGTAAAGATTTTTTGTTCAAGAAATATTCTATTAGAATATCCAAATGATATATTTCAAATATTGTTTTTGTCAATGTTTGAAATATTTATGAATTATATCCCCATTGAAGATCAATCCACTTTCAAAGATCGTAAACTTTCATGCTTAGACGTACTGTCAAACTCCTCGCAGCGGTTACTTCCCTTTTAACGCCGAAAAACACTGCGTGAAAATTGTAAAACGTCAATTAGTCTGTATTGAGATTTCTCCCTTTAACATTTCATCATAGTTATATTTTTGGCCGAATTTTCGCCAAATTAGATAAGGCAATTTTTTAATCGCGAACTAGTATCTTTAAAGACTGTTCTTGAAGCATAGAAAACTACTGTGTACGCTTGTACATAACAGTTTCAGCCAATCAAAAAAATAAGGTCGAACTATTACTAGCTTTATATATAATTTAATATTTATAGGTCGTTTACCACAGTTATTCCGACAGTTCGCATCTTCAACATATTCAATACTGTACTGAATGTTTCTTTTCCACTGCTGAAACATTGGATTTTCGATCACATAGCTAGATGTATAAAATTTTATCCATTTTCATTTTCTCCGATACTTCTATTCACTCCTACCGCTCTTAGACGAAACATTTTTGTATTGCCCCAGCTTGTAAGAAATGTTAGCTAATGTAGTTTAACAAATGGTGCATTCCTGGGATATATAAATATAAATAGTTAGGCAAGTAAGTGTTATAAGAACGTATATATTTTTTAATTCTTCTTATTCTATTCTATTTATTACAGTTGTTAATATACGAATAATGTTTTGTCAGTGTAATAGTTTGGTTCAATTTATAACAGTGGCTTAGAGTGTGGATGTAGTGATCAAAAGACCGGAATATTGCTGGTATTACTGAAAACAGACTTTCTGTGGTGGGACAAAAGTTAATATTTAGAAAATGGGTGACCTTTAATGGAAATAGGTAACGCGGGGGAAGTACAAATTTCGAGAGATATAAAGGAACTACGACGTCAATACAAAATGACAGCGTTCAAATTAAGATTTTAAAAAGGCAGGGGAGGAACACACGGCGTTTGCAGTTTCGGGTGAAATCACAACGCGTATACTCCAGTGTCGTGGATTATTTCACTAGGATGAATTTAATTGTAAAAAAATAACACCCGCTTGGATATAGTATAATTTTACATATCTCACATATATCCTAACAAAATGAGTTGAGACAAAGGACTGTAAACTGAAAGAAAAAATATGTTAATAAGTTATAAAATCCTCAAATGTTCGTGTTTAAACCGGAGCAAAAGAAGGTACGGTAGTTTGTTCACATGACAAGTGTAATGTACATTTTATAGCATTTTTATGTCGCCTCAAATAAAGTAAATTCATGGGTTTTATCAAAACCTTAAAAACACAGTTTCTGCAAAGATGATGTACCCATAAACTTTTCCCTTGTCACATCTTTTTTTGAACTCCATGGCGGTTTAGGGAGGGGGCGGGATATAGACACCACATGTCTGTCCGTCTGTTCGAGCAAACATCCTTCATTCTGTCCATTAAAGGAGAAAGCCACATAAACGGACAGTTAAAGTGGTTAAAGTGGTCACTGTTTTGGTGATCTGGAAAGAATGACTCATAAAGAGCAAAGAAAAAGCCTATATAAACCCAAAATGTCACATTTTTGGTGCTAAAAATATTTTTTTACGGTCTTGCGTATACAACCTTTCTTTCTTGACTGATATATTCCATGTATAGTTGGTATATATCTTGGGTGGTTTCTAACTTTGGGTTTAGTTAGGGGGCTATACTGGGTTCAAAAGGTAAATGTTACTGGTGCTAAGATCTTAACACCCTACGTTTAAAGACCACTTTGCATGTGCATTGAAATACATGTACATTGACAAATTTGCAGTTTCGGAGAATATCCATTGCCTTATATTTTTGGTTTATTTCTTTAATGTGAAAGAATCTAAACTGACAATCAGACAGACAGATAGGCAGACCGATGGACGGGCACACAAGACAGACGACTATTTAAACAAACAGGCATTTTGTTTGATACCATTATCTGCATGTTTAAAATTCCAAGCTTATACACAGTATTACAAAAAATGCTTTTTTTTCTTCTTTATTTAGAATATAAATATTCAGTAACTCTAGTAATGATTCTGCTTCTATTTGATAATTTGATAAGAAGCCATTGATCGCCCGTTATGTGTTTGTATAATGTCTTTAGTAAGTCAAATGGGGTCCCTGCCAAATTTGTTCAGAGAAATTCATATTTATTGACAGAGAGTACTGGCACTTTTTTCTCGAGTTTTTTGCCCGGAATTAAGCTTCGTCGCAAACAACGAAACGTGTGTGAAATATATTTTTTTACATTACTGTATGCTAACTTAGTTGCGATCGATTATTGGTCGGAGGAATTATTTGACACGTGCGGTAAAGGGTTGGGGGATTTTTTCCGGGGCCCAAAAAAGTATTATGTCAGGACTTTTGTGAAATATTTAAAATAGCCGTGGAGTTTTGTTTTTAAAAATAAAATTTGACTTTAAAAGCCCCAAAGGGTTTAAATTTTGTTAAATATTCAAATAAAAAATTTTTTTATCCCGGTTTTTAATCCCCTTTAAATGCGTGACTTTCATTTGACTTGATAACGTGAAAAGGGAAAACCCACAGAAAAAACGAAAAACATTTTTCCCTTTACAAGATTTTTTTCAAACATGATAAATTTTGGGCATACCCACAATTTTAATTTCTATAATCGTATTCGAAAGTACTTGATTTTACACGCACGCCTCAAGATGACCGAGAAAGTCAAACCTGAAAGAAATGTATTAACATTTTAAGAAAAGTAACAATAGTCAAAATTCAATTAATAATTTACATGTTGTGTAAATGACTGATTTTCAGTATCTACCACCATATTTCTATTGCCTGACTATCGCAGTGCATGGTGTTGTTTTTTGTTTATTTGTTGTTTTTCGTTTTTTTTGTTTTTGTTTTTTTAATTTGACCTCTTTTTGGTATATAACGTGGATTGTAAGAACCGTTTGCAATATGTAAATTATTTTCTTTGTTCACTTTACAATATTTTATTTTAAACATATTTTCAAAAGTTTTCATGAAAGATAGCTTTAGGTTTGAAACGAGAACATATAAAACAATTTAAAGGAACCTCGCTGAATTATTTTGACATGACGGGACTGGATATACTTTTTCTAGATTCATGTTCAAATAAGTTTCTTTAAACATGAGTTTTATATATTTCAGAGGGGGGAGCAGTCTGCGAATATGCTGAAATATTTCCTTCCAAGACGTATCAAGCGAATTGTGTTTTTGTTACTGTACGGGCTGCTTCTATTTGCTTGTATAACGTACTGGAGACTTCCGCAGCCTAAAATTAACATACCAATCAAGGATTATCTCGCCAAAAACGCATGGTTACTTAAAACTAATGATAAACATTTAATAGGGACCCGTAATCAGACGTGCGTCCATCCAAAGTTGCCACTTTGGAATAAAGACATTGAGAAGATAATAGAAATTTTAGCACCGATCAAATGTTCCAGAGAGACAGACTGGGTATACACTGGAAATGGAAAGTTCTATATTTCTTTAAAAGCCGTCAAAACTCATGGAGAAATAAAATGCTCATATCAAGCTATCGTAAATGATAATGAAGAATTTAAAATTTTAGATCCTGTCTATCCAATGTTGAATGGAAGTGATCTTAAATCAGATGCATTCAAAGTTTATTGTAAAGCCTCAGATGGCAAAACATACTCTAATACGCATGCGTGTATAGCGCCACAGTCTCCGCGAATGGCCGGTGAATATTCTTCAAATTCAGAACGTTTTAATGTGTTAATTCTTGGACTGGATTCGACATCGCGGCAAATGTATATGCGCATGTTGCCAAAAACTTACAAATATTTTACGGAAGTACTGGGTGGTTCCCTGCTCGAGGGTTACAATATTGTTGGTGACGGCACAACACAAGCTTTAATGCCGCTTCTCTCAGGAAAGCGGGAAACAGAAATACCAGAAACTAGACGCGATAGGCCGGGTGCAAGTTTCGTTGACGAACATCTTGAATTTGTATGGACGCGGTACGAAAAGAAAGGATACGTAACACAATGGGCGGAGGACACTCCAGAGTCTAGCACTTTTAACCTTAGATTAGTCGGGATTAAATCCCAACCAGTTATTCACTATCTTCGACCATTTTACTTGTCTATGACTGATTCAGCACAATCATATATGACATCATTTCTAAATTTGTTCAAAGAAAAGAGAAAAAATTGTTTGGGCTCAAGAACAACATACCAACTTTATCTTGACTGGATGAAAGAAGGGTTAGAAACGAACAAGGGAAAGAACTTCTTTTCGTTTGGATTCATTTCATCATACAGTCATAATGATAACAGTGATTTGGTACAGATAGATGATGATAATGTAGAATTTCTTAAGTATTTACGGAATGAGAACATTTTAAAGAATACGTTCCTGGTCATGATGAGTGATCATGGTTTACGTTACGGTCAGTATCGAATGACCGAGCAGGGAAAACTGGAAGAAAGAATGCCGTATTTTGGTGTTTACATTCCGGCTAAATTCCGGGCAAAATATCCTGACAAGTACACTGCTTTCATGCAGAATTTAAATCGCCTGGTAGTGCCATCAGATATACATAAAACTCTTTTAGAATTAATTGATGAAACGCCAGAAAAGATGAACAGATCTGTTTACTCGTTGTTTTCTCCCATACCTGAAAAACGCACATGCGCAGACGCTGACATTGATCCACATTGGTGCGCATGCCTAAAAACAGAATTTGTTTCCGTTTCAAATCAAAACGTTGTAGCTGCCACAAATAAAGTCACATCTTTTATAAATGATCTCTTAAAAAATGTTTCTTCCCTTTGTCATGGATTAACATTACAAAAAGTTATGAAAGCGTCTGCGTTAGGGACTGATACAAATGTGCTCAAATTCAAAGGAAGTTCGGACCGGGACGGACGTGTAGCGGACTTTAGCGACAAGCTGAGTGCGGAATTTATTCACTACCTCATAACTTTTGAAACTGCCCCTAGTTCGGCAATATTCGAAGCTAGTGTTTTTATGAACGTGAAAACAGGGGAGATAACTGCCAAAGAAAATGAGATAAGCAGACTTAATAGCTACAATGATGCTGCAAAATGTATCCATTCTACTCATCCGTCCCTACGGCCATATTGTTATTGCCGGTGATCTAAAAAAAAATGAGAGGTACATTACATGTCGTCTGGGTGACTATTCAGATGTTGTTTGATTTATAAAATTTCAGAACCTTTCAGAACACCAGCAATCTGCTTATAAGCTACCACTCTCCCACACAGAACGGGTCTAAAAACATCAAGCTATTTGATTACAGTTTACAAATATGCATATAAGTAAGGGACAACAGTTGTTATGTTTCACTTGACCATTATTATCACAGCCGTTACCATGTAGCGAGTAGGAAAGTTTGATGCAGATAGAACTTACTATATTAAAAACGTCAGTTTTATAGCGGATTACCAAGATATGTTCTTTTTTGTCATTTTTTTATGATAATCGAAAGAAGGATAAAAAATACCAAGCGCACAATTATTCTACCCGCAACCAACAAAACAACTTGCAACCAGTTAACGGGAGTGTTTAAAATCACAAAATAAAACGTTGCAACGGTTTACAATTACAGAAAGATAAACTTTGCAAATACTTTACGTAGATATTTTATGTTGGTCAAGACATGTATTAATCATCTAGTTCCATATACATTTACGAGCCTGTAGTCAAGTTTTATCTTTTGATGACATTTTATTTCAAAAACGCCCAAATTATAATGTGTGGGAGAGCAGCTTTTAAAAAAGTCAGTGTTTGGTCCATTTCTGCTTCATGCCATCAAACGTTCATGAATAAACCATACCTGTTATTGGACCGTGAAATTAATGAGCCAGAAACGGCAGACTTAATACAAGGGATCGATGGTATAAATATTTAATGTTTAACGACAGGAATGAATGCTGCATTATACCTGCATTGTATCGATTCGTTGCAGCAACTTTCACGGCTTCCATATTGCACGATGCACCGGTTTCTAAGTGCAGACTTTGATTTGAAAATTTTTAATCAAATCAACTGAAGAGAAATTAACTCAGGTGAACACTGCTGTTGTGAAGAAATTTCGTTGCTTTTTTCTTGTTTTATAATTTTATATATATATATATATATATATATATATATATATATATATATGTATACTGTATATATTGATTAATCTTTGCTATATTGGACAGTGTTTTTATAATTTATAATTATGTCACATCATGAAAAATGATAACGGAAATTACCGAAGATGTACGTTAGGTAAAAATAAACTCAACCGAGGTCCAAAAGCCTAAAAATAAATAATTTAAATTTCTTAGATAGATTAGCTGGGACACTTAAAACAGAAAGATATGCAAAATAATAATAAAGAAATATATGCTGAAATAAACAGGAAATCTTATTTTGTGTTATTTTAGCCCGATTTGAGTGAAAAGCGTTGCAACGCTTTTTAATTTCGGATCATTTTTTCACGATTAGAATAACTATTCTGGGAAAAAAACGGGAATAAGCGGGAACCACATTTAATTGCTTTAGATCTACATTTGGAAAGTAACGTTAATCTCGAAAAAATCATTTGAAACCACGCCTGACAAAACCAACATAATTTTGGTTTGCCACCAGCATAGATCCCAACCAGCCTGCGAAAATCCCGCACGGACTGAGAACAAGGAATAACACATGTTTGTTCGCTATAAATTTTCTACTTGTAATACGGGTTGTTAGTGGCGAACAGCAATGGGAATTCTGAATCCGGACTGCCGCCATCCATGCTGCCTAAAGTAGGGTTTTGATATTTTGGCCATGATTTTCGTGCATAAGGCATTTCGCTCTAATAAATAACATCTACTTTAATTTTATTTCAAGTGGTTACGCCACAAAAAATTGATAATTTTTCATTCCACAAGATGAATATTTAAATCCTGTATTTACAGAAAGAAACTTGAATTTTCTATTTAGTTTTTACATTTATCTCTTTTTTGACATTGCAATTTGAAAGACTTCACCTTAAATTTTGTGTATTAGAAGAAAGTAGTCTGGCACGACACCAGTGAAAATACGGAAAATACGTTTCACTGCTGTAAAAAAGTTTTTACATTGAAAATACGAATAAAGAAAATAAGCATTATATTTCATCATTTTTTCTCAATATTTCGTTTAGAAGTACTCGTATATACATGGAATAAACAAACTTATATTACTTTCTTACAAGTATTTTGAAAGTATTCATGTGTGATATTCAAACAGTGTGTGACCTACAGGCAGCAGTAAGATATATCATAAGAGCTGAGATACATGTGTCAAACCCCGCTGGAACCCAGGCACAATGTTAGGATAGTGACAAAAAAAGCAAATTATTAAAGTCCTGGTATAACCGTATATGCATATTCATGTATAATAAATATTGTGAATAAGGGTGCGATATTTTTAAAATTGCTTTTGAACACCATCCTTTAATATTTGTGGCCGGGTTCACTATGGTTTTATAGCGATACGTGTGTCTCTATTTGGAGTATTGTTTTAGAATAAAAATACATTAAAGGCCGCTTCATGCCTCAGAAAATGTGTTATACTTTTTTTTTAAAAAAATGGTATTTTTGGGTGTACTTTATGTTTCCATTATGTTACTTATTTGCAAATTACCTAAATATTTTTGGTTTTACCTGTTGGTTTTTATGGCAGTTGGTACAAGTTATAGTGATTTTAAGTTTTTTGGTCAATGAAGTCAAATATTACTCGGTTTTACGTTTTTTGCTACGTTTATTACAATTATTTCACATTTATCGAATTTTTTCAAGGAAACCAAGCATATAACATGTTCTAAAACCGTCATCTAAACGCTATTAATTCATATTTGTCTTTGTAAAGAAAGTAAAATTTCTTAGATTCTGAGGGATAAAGGGGGGGCGGGGGGGTACTTTTAAAAACTGTGTACATGGGGTTAAACCCAATAAATTCAGTGCTGGGTACAAAACAATGTATGGTTATTTTACGAAATCCATGTTTTTATACAATTTGTACATTTATATGTGTTGCTTTTTATTTTACTTTAACATTGTTAAATAATTATTATTAAACCAGCCATTAACTATAAATGTAGTTTTTATTAAATCAAGGCATAAAATGTTGAAATACATGCAATAACATATTCAAGGTTCAGTGGGAGTTAACACTTCTCTTTCCCTTATCTCCAAGATATGATAACAAGATTCAATTTAGTCAGCTCGCAATGGAACCATCAGTGACCGGGAAAGTAATCAGGTTACTTGTGCTCGCCAATAAACCAACAGTAACACGGAAAAAGTAACAGGTACTTGTGCTTCGCAATAAATAAACAGTTTCACATGGAAAGGTAACAGGTATTGTGCCTCGGCAAATTAAATCAAAACAGTCACCGACAGGGACCCAGGTAACAGGTACTTGTGCTCACAATAAAAAATATTCAGTGACCGGTGAGTAAAAGGTAACTTGTGCTCACAATAACAGTGACCGAAAGTAACAGGTACCTTGTTGATCGCAAAAAATATAGTCACCGGAAAGTAACAGGTACATGTCCTGCTCGCAATAAACTTTACACACTAAATTTTAAAAACTTTAAAAAATTAATCAGTGATCCAGTTTACTCACATCGTAATCTTTTTTTTGGAAATGTTTTAAATGGCTTCTAAACAGTGTACTTTTCAAGCAGGGTCCGGGGCTTCGAGTGCTCACTCAGGCGTGCACATTTTTTTTCTCACCATGTAACATTTAATACTATTTTTAGCTCACCAGAACTGAGCTATAAGTATCAGGCGTATGTGGTCTTATGCACAATAAGCGTCAACATTTCATCTGCTTCTCTTTAAAAAAATTTTTTAGCTTTCAAATTAGGTCTGTAGCTCACTAACTTGTGGTATTAGTCACCTTAAATTTGGCTCAATATCATTTTAATTGGGGCCCTCTTTAGGGGTTTACAGAGCTCCTAAAAAAAAAAAAAAAAGCTTTTAAAACATCTTCTTCTTCTGAAACTAATCGATGGGTTGATCACCAAACTTTTGTGGATGCAGTAAATTCTCAGGTATTTATCACATTTGCTCATATTAATTTGATTGGCCCCCTTTTAGCTAACAATAGAAATATTTAAAAACATCTTCTTCTACTGAATCAATTGATAGATGAATCATCCAAACTTTGTCAGTAGCATTCTTAGGTAGTCTTTTATCAATTTTCTCATATTTTTTTGAGTGGCCCCTCATAGGGGCAGCTTAAGCTAAAAATTAGAAAAAAAAAACTGTTAAACATCTTCTTCTACTGAAACTAATTGATGGATGATCACCAAAACTTTGTCTGTAACATTCTTAGGTAGATTTTTTTTTTTAAATTTGCTCATATTAATTAGAATATAAGTGGCCCTAAAATGGGCCTCTAGGCTAAGAAATAGAAAGAAACTTTAAACAGCTTCTATACTGAACTAATTGATTGTTGATAAACCAAACTTTGTCTGTAGCATTCTTAGGTAGGTCTTTTTATAAAAAAATCCACAATGACCTGGACTATTTGTCAAAGGTTTCTTTTTTACTATTACTAAGAAGTAAAAAACCCAAATTCAGTGTCGTGGCACTATTATAACCAGAGCACAAGTTGAAGTTGTGCTGGATTTTGCATTTCGGGCAAGTTTCATTGGGAAAAAATTATTTTTTTCAACACTGAAAAAAAATGTGTTTTTGTGCGAGCGATTCCCGGGGCCATCATGGCCCTTTGTTTTATATACTGAAATATTTAAACGTACATACCACTTGATAATGTCTTCAAAGCTGAGAGACAAAAATTGTTTTTTTGAGTACGCTGTACAATGTATATCCTAGAACTTTAGCCTCAATCGCATCTTGCTGCGGCCCTTTCCGTCAAAGTTCGAATAACCACGTTGTTACTTATGATAGCCGAGATGCTCTGATTGCTTCAGCCTGAGCTTTCCGGTGTCTGTGAGTTATGATGCCAAAATCAATACTTTTACAAGATACTTGACGCAAGCGTCTCAGTATATTACATACACTAGATGCAATCGTCTGAAGGTGTATATTGATTTTGATTCATTGGAGTTAAATCCGTACAATAAATACCGCAGGGAAATCATCGTTAATCTTTAAATGGAATACAAAGTATTCCGCATGACATAAACTACGTGTCAATATATGAATATGGATGCTTAAAAAAATAATATTTTTTCATTTTCTATCAAAGTCATATGATCTTGTAGAACCTCTGTATTTAGAGTTTCCAGCCTGAATTTTTGACCTTTAATTTATTACAGAATTATTTTTTTTACGGTCAAACCGTTGTGAAATAATAGTAGATCGCCTGTCACAACTTTTCTAATAATTCAGATTGACCTTAATATACAACTTTAGTACATAAACTAATTTCTTTAAAGGGTCATTGTGAACGATAAATGCTTTTATTCCTATTTTTCAAGAGCAATCATTTTTTGTGAGATTTTATAGTTTTCAAAAAAGAATACTCATTGACTCATTCCCTGAGCCATCTTTTTCCTGGTTTGCTTTTTTGTATTTTCTGATCGTAAGATCAGTAAATACATAGCTAACATCCACGGTCTAACACAAAATTTCCTCACAGTCCTAACAACGCAAAGCAGTCCTCACTCAAAACTTCTTAAAAACCAGCAATTTAAAAGAAAGAATAATTTTTAATGACGGCATTAAACGAATTACAGTGCATTAAAAGTTTAAATTAGTCAACAGAAATATGAGGTTACAACCACAAATTTCGCGGATGAATATCTTTTTTTCCCAATGAAAAATGTTCGGCTATTTCCGTAAAGCTTCGGATTATCATGTTCAATGAAAACGCTATTTTTAGCTATGTCGATTACCGAATACTCCAGAGCGTAGTACACAAATAAATCTGACTGCCGAGTAGTGGAATATATACATGTCGGACTTTGTTTTGGCGAGAAGATTTTCGCTTAAATTATTTTTCATCAGTGTTAAACAACAGGTTTATCGTGAACAAAAAATACCTCGAAATTAATAAGGATTACAAAAGGACGAAATGGAAATTTCT